AGTTAATTAAAAAATCACAAATGGGGAACAATGCCCCTGTAATTCTGGAACCCAGTTCTTCAATCATGAAAGTGAGAAGAAGTTTTCTGTATAATGAATGCAATGCCCATGATTTTGATGGGATATTTTCAGTTTTCTGGTAGAAACTTTTTTTTTCCTGTAATTTTGTTGTTTATTGAGACATTTTTTGATGGTTAGAGCCTTCTGCCTCTAACCTATGCCTTCATCATTGAAACGTATGTCTTTCTTGTTCTTGATCCTCCTGAGTTCTTTTTAATTAAAATATATCTAATTCTAGTTTATAGGGGTGGGGAAGGGCAAAAGTAGGTTTACAGTTGTGAGTATGCAAAACAGAGTTAATTCTTGTGTTATTATTTATTAATTATTGTATTATTTTCCATAGGAATAAGTGTAACCCTACTTTTGCCCCACCCTGTATTTTAAACATAAAAAAGTAGAAAAAAATAATGAAACACTTATGCAATAACTTTTTTTTTTTTTTATAAATCCTCACCTGGGCATATTTTTTCCATTGATTTTCAGAGAGATTGTAAGGGAGAGGGGGAGAAAGAGAGATTAGATAGATAGATAGATAGATAGACAGACAGACAGACAGACAGACAGACAGAGACATCAATTGGTTGCCACCAGCACACTCCCTGACTGGGGCTGGGGATCAGACCTGCAGCCCAGGTAAGTGCCCTTGTCAGGAAATCAAACCCACAACCCTGCAGTGCGTGGGTCAATGCTCTAACCATTGGGAACCACCGGCCAGGGCTCATATAATAATTTAAGGTCACCAGATGTTACCAATTTGCCTTATTTTATCTGGTCTTTCTTTTTAAAACAAATACAGTGTTGAAGATAGCCCTGTTGCATTCTCTTCCCTACTTTATTCCCCATTATCCCTGGCAGAGGTAATCAGTACCTGAAGTTGGTATTTATCTTTCCTGTATATGATTTTAAAAATTGGCTCCATGCGTGTGCAGCCACTGCAGTACATAGGGTTATGTTGTGGGTTTGGAGCTGTTTTCTCTGACTCTGCTCCCTTGTGAGTGTCCATCTCTTCTTGCCATCCTTGTTTCTCACCCCTCCCCAGCCCTCAATGGAAAAGGAGGGGGTGGGGCGCTGAAGGTACCCTGACCTTTTCTGCTTCCTTCTTTGCTCTTGGGCCCTCCTCCAGTTACTCCCTACCTTGTACTTGCATGCTCTGCACCATCCCACTCTACTTGCTGTCTCTCTTTCTCCCTTTCTTCTCGGTGTCCCAGTGAGTTTAATTTCTGTTTGTGGCCTTGAAGATTACCAAGCTCAGTTTTTCTCTGTCCTTATTTAGGACAGGTAAGATCATGTTTCTGAAAACCCAGGAGAGAGATGCAGGGTAATTACTTTCAAGTACAGAAACCCTCCTGAGGGAAGAAGAGGCAGAGCTCTATGTTTTGGAGGATCTGATGTTTTATAATATCAGATGTGAATTACAATTATCATGGTTGTTGTTTCAATGTAGTTCTAAAGGCATTTGCCTTTAGGTTAATAGTAATCATTTGCAAATTAATTTGCTTAACAAAATTCTATTTGTCCTCTGATTATCAGTAATATCTCACTTTATGATCTATACATAATAGAGACTTTTACATTTATCCTTAAATTATCCAAAGTGAACTTAACTATAAACAGTCCTCTTTCTTCTTTCATTTAAAGTATATAATTTGCCTGCCTGGTGCAGAACAGGCTGTGAGTGGAGATGGATCAGTGCTCTCCTCTTTAGGGACAGACCACCTGGTTGTGACAGATAGTCAGGGCTGAGAGGAGTTTACAGTCTTAGGCGGAAGACAGATATTTGTACAGATACTACAGGTGAGCATATTTATTCGGGTACCGTGAGGAAAATCACCGAGGGTGGAAAATCACCAAGGCGGAGGAGGGACAGTCGTGCCCAGCATTCCTAGCTTGTATAGGAACTGGTTTTGGGGGATTGGATGGGCATACAAAATCCTTGACTGTATGTTCTTCAGAGTTTGAAGGTTTAAGAGCTTAGAGGTGAACTCTATATAGTCTGGCCATCACAAATCTTGACTCTATTATAAGATAACAACTAACTTTCAGTTTCCCACTGATGTTTCAATGTCACACATTCCATTAGCTCTTCCTGACCTCCCAAATACAAATAATGCATTAAGGAGCTAAGAGTAAGAATGGAAAGGAGTTGCCTAAAATCTTTATCAGCTGTGGTCAGAGTATATCTTTGACCTGAATGCACTCCTGTGGGGCCAATGCTAAGATGGTTTTTGGTTTCCTTTCGCAGTAATGTTCTGGAACATAATGTAGGCTCTTTGCTGTCTTTCCATCTGCAAACCCTCAGGTTTGTTTCTCTGCATAGAACTCAATTCTGTAGCTGGGGTCACCACTGTCTTCTCTAATGATTCATAATTATAAATTATAACACACGCACACACACACACACACACACACAGAGCACATTAATGAAATCCTACTGTGTGCTCACAGGAGAGGTGTCAGTGGAGAGACCTTACTTTATAATTGAAGGTGGAGCTTTTGCAGCATCTTTTAAATCTGATATTTTCCCATTTTATCATTCAACCTCTTCTCAGCTCACTTGCCTTCCTCACCATTTATGACTTAGGTACACAAATGACATTTGTTATTATACCATGTGGGTAAATACTAAGAATTTATGTTTTAACTTCATTTCCTAGTCAGAAAAGAAGCCAGAACACTAAGACTTACATTTACAGATGATAAGAAATACCAGCTATTTAGGGTTTTTTTCAGTGTTATAAATTTACACTTTAACTTTTATTTTAGGAAAATAAACTCCATCAGTCAAAGCTCCTTGGAGATCACAAGGGGCCTCTGGGTACACTTGTGCCATGTCTGCTGCAGTAACTCTAGAGTAAGGATTTTAGGTGGAAGTGAATTTTAAAAGGTTCAGAGAAAGAAGCTTTGGATTTATAAGTTTTAGTAACTGTAAACAGTTTTGAGATCTACAGAGGGGCATTTGCTACCCTTTAAATTTTCCCAAATGACAATACGTATTTTATGTTTAGAAGACAGAGATTGAGGCAATAAAATCCAGCCAGGAAGCTCCCCTACCCCCAACAAAAGGCACTAGTGTTTTGGAAAGCCTGGTATTGCCTGTGACTCAGCAAGATAAAGGTGATGTTCCATATTTCTAACTCTTTTCAGTGTTGAGGAGAAATAACATGTCAATGCTTGAGAGTCAATGGAGTGTGATAAAAAAAAAAAAGAAAAACAAACAAACAAACACTTTCTTGGGAATCAGGAGATAGGCAGGTTTATCAAAGATGTCCCCCAAACTTCAATGTAATGAATTTTTGTACCTTTTCTGTTTTATAGTTTCTTCACCCATCAGCACTAGGGTTTATTGCTCTTCTTCCTAGTTCTATTCATTTCTATTGAGGTAGTTCTTGTTAAACCTGCTATGTGCACACTCCTGTGCTGGCGGCAGTGTTATGTCTCCTTTAATCATCAACCTGTCAGGCAGTGGTAGTTCAACCACTTTGAAACATGGATGCAGCACTGGGGACCCAGCTCCCAGCACGGAGGCAGCGGTTCTCCAGGCCCAGCCTACAGACTGGGGTCCATTTATCACAAATTTCCTTCGAGTCTACAGGAAGAATTACAAGTGGGTCATGTGAAATTTTCATAAAGATAAAGATATTTTATTCAACTAGTGGCCTGGTGCACAGATTTGTGAACCTTGAAAGCAAATTGATTAGAATTCCTGGTGCTGCCGCAGCTCGAAGGGCATCTGCGGAGTGTGTGTGTGTGTGTGGGGGGGGGGGGGGCGGTGGGGGATGAAAAAGAAAGAAAACTAATGCTAGGGTCTTCCAGCTCACAGAGCTGGCTCCAGTGCAGGGACTAATGCAGGTGGTTCCGGGTGGTGGCCGGCAGGGCGGGACTGGAAGAGATGGGCCAGGCATGCCCTGGAGCCAACCTCCCATGGTCCCTTCCCAGCCCCCAGCCACACTTGGGGTGGCACCTTGGCTCGAAGGGCATCTTCAGAGTGAGCAGGGTCCCTCCAGTAGGTAGGGTCCCTCGGCCTTGCCTGTGGGGATCGGGCGGAAACCGGCTCTCCGACATCCCTCAAGGGGTCCCAGAGTGCGAGAAGGCACTCTGCAAAGTTGCTGTCGTACAGGGTGTGGGACCCAAATGCAAGTGTGAAGTAAACCAGATTCAGGGCCAACAGTGCCCAGCAGCAACATAACCCACTGCCGAAGGAGGAATTGCGTGGCCCCTCGAGCGCCCCCCTCAAGGAATCGGGCTCCCTCCTCTCTGGTTCCAGGGTGCATTACCCAAGAACTGCCGCTGCCAAGTCACTGCAGCTCGGCAGCTCCTGCATTGAGCATCTGCCCCATGGTGGTCAGTACATGTCATAGGTACCGGATGGTCGGATGGTCACTTAGCCTTTTATATATATAGATTACTCCTTCCATCCTTTTATTAAAAATATATGCTATTTGATTCATGAAATGTGATAGTAGAAAGCTTTTTTAGGTCCCTGCTTATCAAAGTAAAACATTTACAAGTCTTTGTTGGTTCTCTGTCCCCCTTCCCTTTTTTCCTTGTTTGGCTATCTAAAAGCCTCATAATACTTGGCTTAAAAAATACTGCCTCAAATAATCCAGTTTTGTATTGCGTAATTCATTTTTCAGAAGAAAGTTATTGAAATACGAAGGAAAGGGAGATATTTTTTAAGCATTTCATTTACGTTTAGCAATTATGTAGAGTTTATATTTGATCTGGTGGTAATGCAATCTTGTATTCTGATTGTCATCTTCATTGTGTTTTTACCCATGAATATTTAATATAACTCTTGGCCAGAAATATTTTTCCAGGAAATGGTTTTCCCTGAGGGATACCTTTTCCCATCTTCCACGAAAGCCCTGGTTCAGGAATCACCTTGATTTGACACTTGGTTCTCTTCAGTACTGACGGTGCTCTGCTTTACTTTTCCTTAGCGATACAAATGAAGTTGACATACCACCCAACACTCGTGTTGGCACCAAGCGCTATATGCCTCCAGAAGTGTTGGATGAGAGCTTGAATAGAAATCACTTTCAGTCTTACATCATGGCCGACATGTACAGCTTTGGGCTCATTCTTTGGGAGGTGACTAGGAGATGCGTGTCAGGAGGTAAGTACCAGTGGTACCATTGGGCTACTACAATTCCTTTTTTTTTTTCTCTCTCTTTTTTTAAATCCTCACCCGAGGATATTTTTCCATTGATTTTCTTAGAGAGAGTGGGAGAGATAGGGAAATAGAGAGAAACATCGATGTGAGAGAAAGAGATCAACTGATTGCCTCCCACACGCACCCGGGCCCGGGCCCAGGAGGAGCCTGCATCAGAGGTATGTACCCTTGACTGGAAGTGAACCCAGGATCCTTTGGTCTGCAGGCTGATGCTCTATCCACTGAGCAAACCAGCTAGGGCCAAATCCTTTTTTCTGATCAGAAATCAAAGTTGTCTACAAAATCAAATTTTGTCCTTTATTTCTGTTGACCCAGTCATAATCCTCCTAGGAAATAATACTTCACATCATAGAATTACCTTTGACTGCATTCTTCTCTCCATCTATGACTGAGGCATCTCTTCTAGGCACATTGTCAACTTCCTCTGTCTTTTCGAAGATCATCCTGTTCTATTATATGTATTGTCTCACTTCTCTCTTGAACTCTTTCTCCAGCCGTTGCTTTATCAAGTTAACCTCCTTCTCTACCCCTTCCATCTTCTTCTTACCAATCTGCTGGGCCCCCTGCCCAACTCTAGTGCCCCATTTCCTGTGGCTTCCTCTGCTCAGATGAAAAGACATAACTGTGGGGTGGGACACCCATTATTTAACCCCCCTCCCTACTTCTTAACCTTCTACAATACTTACTCATAAAGCAATTTGAAAACATCAGTTTTTATCAAAATGAAATTAAAGCATACGAATATTATTATTGGTCATGGTAATCTTTTTACAAACATAAAGTTTCCCTAGTAAGACTAACTAAGGAAACATCCTTAAATATTCAGAGGTGTTATTATTGCTTGTAGCATTGTGTCTACTGCTGCATAATTTGTCTTTTAGTAGATTCCAGCACCTTTCAGTTGAGGAGCTGAGTCTGAGGCTCTTTGGTATCAAGTATGTTGTTTATGGTTCTAGTCATGGTTGTGCTTGATAAGTAAATCCTGGTACTGCTGCTCTTCCTCTTGATGGAGGTGAGTTAAACTCACCTTCATGAAAACTGGAGCTTGCCCAATATTCTGAAAGTGTAGCCTACAGTTAACTAGTACTAGCACTTGTATCTGTAAACCTTTGACAAGTTAACTAACTTTTCTTTCTTTCAGTTTTCTTATCTTAAGAGGGAGATGGATTATTGCACTACCTCAGGGGGTTGTGAGGTTTTTGTGATTGTAAAGAGAATTAACATTGCCTGACCCATAAATAGTACTCAATACATGTTAGCTGTTATTTTAAATTTTCACTTTGGTTGGTAGAGCCTTAACTTACATTTAGAATCCTATTGAAATATAAAGGAGAAACAGTTAATCAATAGGCATTCATACTTCTGTAGCAAGATCATCTTCATTGGTGCAGTGCCTTCTAATCACTCTAGAGATTCTGAATTTCTCATTAGCTTAAGTTGAAATAGAGCACATCCCCTCTGAAGTGAGAGAACTCTTTTTGGTCCAAAGGAAGTTTTTTTCTGATTCAGATATTGAATAAATCTCTCATCATATTATGAAGAAGAAAAGGAGTAACAAAAACATAAATTAACTAACTGCCTATGCTTTGATTTTGTTTTGTAAAGAGGAAGTGAGCATGCTTTTGAACAAAATGTTTATACTTATTTAAGACTAGAGGCCTTGTGCATGAATTCGTGCACAGGTGGGGTCCCTCAGCCTGGCCAGCAATAAGGTCAATCGGGGCTGTCTCACCCAGTCCCGATCGGGGCCAGCCAGCCGGGGGGAGGGACCTCGGGAGGTTAGCCAGCTGGGGGGAGGGACCCTCAAGAGGTTGGGACCATGGGAGGATGGCCAGCTGCAGGGGGTTGGCTGTGGGACCGCACAGACCACCTGGCCAGCTGAGGGTAGGGACCGAGGGAGACTGGCCAGCCTCAGGAGGTTGGCTTTGGGAGCACACTGTCACCAGGGGGCAGCTCCTGCATTGAGCATCTTCCCCCTGGTGGTCAGTGCGCGTCATAGTGACCGGTTGATGGGTTGTTCGGTCAACCGGTCGTAATGGTTGCTTAGGCTTTTATATAGAGAGAGATAGGTTTATAGGAGTTGAAGGAATAGGATAATAAAAGATTACTTTTCAAATTAAGTTTCCCTGGAAATCTAAAGCAATTAGGGCAATAAGAAGCCTGTATTTGAAAGCCTGTGGTTGGAATATGGGCAAAATGATTCTTAGCTTAAAAACAAGCTGGGGTACCCTGGCCAGAGTGGCTCAGTTTCTTGGGTGTTGTCCCATGAACCAAGTAGCTGCCGGTTCATTTCCTGGTCATGGCACATGCCCAGGTTGCAGGCTTGATCCCAGTAAAGGCCAGGAGGTAGCCGATCAATGTTAATATTTTTAGGTGTGTACAATTCTCTAAATTTTAAATATGGAAGAATGCATTCTTATTATTAAGCAGAAAAAATGTAAATGTGACATTTTATTCAAGTAGAATACACTGCCAAATTTATTATGAGATTCATAATCTCATATTGCAGTAATAGAAATGATCACATATTATACGTATGAGTTTGGAATGTGTCTGCCAAATTTGCATGGAGATTTAATATAGATTTTTTAAAAATTTTGGCATACAAGAGCCTTTGTAAAATTGGAAATAAATTTGAGGTGCTTATTTTACTTAGCTTTTGGAAATTAGAAGAAAAGGATTGAAGACCTAAAGTAATATGTTTCATTGGGATTTTCATTCATTTAAAAATTAGATTGTCATTTGGCAACATTTTTTTTAAGATTTATTTTGCTGTTTTTCAGGCTTGTCTTTAGTACCGACAGAACTTTTTTTTGAGAACAGTTTGTATGTTAGAATTTTATTTCCATTTCACAGAAAAAAAGTATAATAGTAAAACTGTGTTTTCAGGTGCAGTGGAAGAATACCAGCTTCCCTATCACGACCTGGTGCCCAGTGACCCCTCTTATGAGGACATGAGAGAGATCGTGTGCATCAAGAAGCTCCGTCCCTCATTCCCCAGCCGGTGGAGTGGCGATGAGGTAAGGTTCCGGGAAGCCATGTGCTATAGAAATTTTCCCTTTTTGCCAAAATTCCAAATATTGATTGCAGGAGTTCTTATTCTTCTTTGTTCTGTTGGTGGTGATAGTGATGCCTCAGTGTGATGATTTATATGGTGCTACGTGTAATGTGGTAAATTGTTCCTTTTTTCCTAACTTGATTTTGCCGCTTCCAAAATATATTGAGTGGGTTAACATTTAGCCATCATAACAGGTAACATTATTCCATTTATTTGTGATGTCCTGACAATGGCATAAAGGCTCTATTTCTCTCTCTGTGTGTTTTTATTTTTATTTTTTACTTTTTAAAAAATTCTTTATTGTTTAAAGCAGTGGTTCTCAGCCCTCCTAATGCCGCAACCCTTTAATACAGTTCCTCATGTTGTGGTGACCCCCAACCATAAAATTATTTTCGTTGTTACTTCATAACTATAATTTTGCTAGTTATGAATCGTAATGTAAATATCTGATATGCAGGATGTATTTTCATTGTTCGCGACCCACAAGTTGAGAACCGCTGGTTTAAAGTATTACATATGTCTCCTTTCCCCCCTATTGATCTCTCCCAGCCATTCCAACCCCCCAGCATATGCCCTCACCCCCCCAGTGTCTGTGCAAATGGTTTATGCTTATTTGCATGCAAAAAAGTCCTTTGGTTGACCTCCCCACCTCCCCTGCCTTCCTTCTGAAGTTGGACGGTCTGTTCAATGCTTCTATGTCTCTGGACCTATTTTTGTTCATCAGTTTATGTTGTTCATTATATTCCACAAATGAGTGAGATCATGTGATATTTATCTTTCTTCAACTGGCTTATTTCGCTTAGCATAATGCTCTCCAGGTCCACCTATGCTGTTGCAAATGGTAAGAGTTCCCTCCTTTTTACAGCAGCGTAGTATTCCGTTGTGAGGATGTACCACTGTTTTTTAATCCACTCATCTGCTGATGGGCACTTGGACTGTTTCCAAATCTTAGCTATTGTAAATTGTGCTATTATGAACGTAGGGGTGCATATATCCTTTCTGATTGGTGTTTCTGATTTCTTGGGATATATTCCTAGAAGTGGGATCACTGGGTCAAATGGGAGTTCCATTTTTTGAGGAAACTCCATACTGTCTTTCACAGTGGCTGCACCAGTTTGCATTCCCACCAGCAGTGTAAGAAGGTTCCTTTTTCTCTGCATCCTCCCCAGCACTTGTCGTTTGTTGATTTGTTGATGATAGCTATTTTGACAGGTGTGAGATGGTACCTCGCTGTTGTTTTGATTTGCATCTTTTGGATGATTAGTGACTTTGAGCATCTTTTCATATGTCTCTTGGCCTATGTATGTCCTCTTTTGAAAAGTGTCTATTTAGGTCCTTTGACCATTTTCTGATGGATTGTTTATCTTCCTTTTGTTAAGTTGTATGAGTTCCCTATAAATTTTGGAGATTAAACCCTTATCAGATACAGTAGGTCCTTGGGTTATGTCAGAGATCCATTCCTACAGCAACATAACGTGATTTTCACTGTAAGTGGGAACCCGCTACATAAGCACCTACGTCACTCACATGGAGCACATACACAGCAGTAATGAAGTGAAACAGTAAAAAAATTTAAAAGAAAGATAATTCCTGACCTTTACTTGTAAATTAATAATAAAAAACATAAAGCACATAATGCACATACGTCGAAATGATGGAATTTTTTTTTATATAAATAAATGGGAGATGGCGATGTAACCCGAGGACTGCCTGTATAACATTGGTAAATATGTTCTCCCATGCAGTGAGCTTTCTTGATGTTTTTTTTTTATGGTTTCTTTTGCTGTGCAGAAGTTTTTATTTTGATGTAGTCCCATTTGTTTATTTTCTCCTTAGTTTCCATTGCCCTAGGAGCTGTATCGGTAAAGATATTGGTATGACATATGTCTGAGATTTTGCTGCCTATGGATTCTTTTAAGATTTTTGTGGTTTTCCCATCTTATGATTAAGTCCTTTATACATTTTGAGTTTATTTTGTCTATGGTGTAAGTTTCATTTTTTTTGCATGTATTTGTCCAATTTTCCCAACATCATAGATTGAAGAGACTATCTTGACTCCATTGTATGCTCTTGCCTCCTTTGTCAAATATTAATTGAACATAATGGCTTGGGTTGATTTTTGGGTTCTATGTTCTGTTCCATTGGTCTATATGTCTGTTCTTGTGCCAGTAACAGGCAGTTTTGAGGACAGTGGCTTTGTAATACAGTTTGATATCTGGTATTAAGATCCATCCAATTTTGTTCCTCTTTTTTTTTTTTTTTTTAGAATTGCTGCAGCTATTCAGGTTTATTTATTTATTTTTATTTCATATTTGGAGAGTTTGTTCTAGGTCTGTGAAATATGCCATTGGTATCTTAATGGGGGTGCATTGAATCTATAGATTGCTTTGTGTAGTATGGGCATTTTAATGATGTTGATTCTACCAATCCATGAACACGGTATATTCTTCCTCTATCTCTTTTTTCAATGTCCTGTAGATTTCCGAGTATAAGTCTTTTACCTCCTTAGTTAAGTTTATTCCTAGGTATCTTAATTTTTTTGTTGGAATGGTAATGGGATTGTTTTTTTAGTTTCTCTTTCTGTGAGTTCATTATTGGTGTATAAAAAGGCCATATATTTCTAGGTGTTAATTTTGTATCCTGCTATATTACCAAATTAATTTATTAAGTCTAGTAGTTTTTTTGATGGAGTCTTTAGGGTTTTTTATGTACAATATCATTTCATCTGTGAATAATGACTGTATAACTCCTGCTTTTCCAATTTGGATGCCTTTTATTTCTTCTTCTTGTCTGATCACTATGGATAGTACTTCTAGTACTATGTCGAACAGGAGTGGTGAAAGTGGGCATCCCTGTCTTATTCCTATTCTTAGGGGAAATGGTTTTAGTTTTTGTCCATTGAGTATGATGTTGGCTGTAGGTTTGTCATATAAGGCTTTCATTATGTTGAGGTATGTCTGTTTCTGACAGGGCTTTAGGTGGGGGTGGTGCTATATCGCTATCTGGTACTGAATGGCCCCTGTTCAAACCAGTCCCTGAGGGCTCTGTGGGGCTATTCAGTCTTTATTTCCTTTGTAAAGCTCAAGGTGTAGGCTGTTTATGGCTGTATTAGCTCTCTTGAGGCAGTTGGGAGGGGCTGGCTCTGCAGGAGAAAAATGGCTGCTGAGATTTGGAGGGTCATGAACTCCTGATCACCTCTCACTGTCCTGTTCTCCTCCACCGCCTCTTCCCAGACTCCACAAATCTGCACCTCTACCTGCATCGCAGCCTCGGGTGAGTGTTTGCCATTGAAAGTCCCATGAACGGGGTTTAGCAAATTAAAGCAAAGACAAAACAGAGGCAAAACAACCACGTGACTGCCAGTTTCTCTCCCCCTGGCACCCCGTGGCTCAGGCAGCTCTTCAGGCCACCCTTCTGGGCGCAGCCCCTCATGGCTGTGGACTTAGATCTAGATTCCCCAGCTGCCAGCACCCCTGTGGACTTCCTTTCCACAGTCGGATGTTACATCTGTCCCCAATGGACACGGACTTGGTGCAGCGCAGTTCCTTCTGGACCCTCTTGGCCCGGTGGTCACGCATCTCTTTCCAGCCCAGATCCCTGAATTCTACCTTCTCCAGGCGTCCTCTGCCCTTCCCGGCTGTGATTGTCTCACAGCTCTGTCTAATTCGACTACTCTGGAACAAGGTGCAGGACATGTCTGCCTATTCAGCTGCCATTTTTCCTCTGTGTGTGTGTGTGTGTGTGTGTGTGTGTGTGTGTGTGTGTGTGTTTAAAGCATTATGAGTTTTTCTCCATGAAAAACACACATGCAACATTCTCACATTTTGATGAGAGAAAAGATAGGCATCTGAAAAATGCCATTTTCTATACAGAGAAGTGATACAAGTTGACCTAGTTGAGATGCCTGAGGATGCTGTGGATCTTTGTTAATAAGGATGAGGAGATGAGATTTGAAGGAATCCATGTGCAACGAAGGCTGTAAGGGTACAGTGGTGAAGCCTAAAACAGGTCTGCAAAGAAGCTGTGCATAAGGAGGAACTGAGTCGGGCGGGCCTTGCCTTCCCTGACGCATCTGCTCCACATCCTCTCCATCCATCCTCTAAGCTTGTACACTCACCAAATCCTGGAGCGCTCTGGCAGGCTGGCACCTTCAGAGATGCTTGAGCATCAGACATGTACCAGAGCCTGGGCAAACATGTGGGCAGAGCGCTGTTTATGAAATAATCCTTCACTGTTAAATGCATTTAAAAACAACCTTTGGATCATTGGTTTTATGCTAAATCATACATATGTTTTCCAATGAGCTATGCAGAAAGCTTTATGAGATGCTGGAGTTACCTTCCTTTGGAGCTGGTTACAGGCACTGGTATTACCCCAGATTCCTTCACTGAGGATTTCTAATGAAGTGAAATTGTGCTTTCAACAGGAAGACCAATAATTTATGTAGGAGAAAGTTTTAGCGAGGCCCCGCACAGGTCATGCATCTTGTTAAAAGCGACAGTGTGATGCTATTATTGTAGCAGACAGCTGCGACTTAGGAATAACCGTGTTTGTTTGAATAGTATGGAAGGAGATAAAAGATTTAAGCTGATCAAATGTTATAAACAAACCGGGAGTGTGGAGTGGAATACAGACTCCCTGCGTATTTTTGTATTTATTTAATGCTGACTTCAAAGACACTCTTCTTCAATCAGCACAACCACTTGCTTGCTCCTATCAGAAGGATGTTATGAAAATCTGTCTTAGTCATTGAAAATTTGCATGAAAAAAGAAGTGTTATGAAACATGGTTTTAAAAGGAGCTTTTGAAACTCCTATTCAAACTCCAGGAGCCCAAAATTAAAAGCCAAATATCAAGGGCCAGCCTGGCACATAGTAAATACATGTCTCTAACGCCACTCCCACTTTTCCGTTTCCCTCCCTGCAGTGTCTGAGGCAGATGGGGAAGCTAATGACCGAGTGCTGGGCTCACAATCCCGCGTCCAGACTGACAGCCCTGCGTGTGAAGAAAACACTTGCCAAAATGTCAGAGTCCCAGGACATTAAACTCTGATTTGAGGGGGAAAAAGAAGACAAAAGAAAAGAAAAAGAAAGCATCAGTGGAGAAAGCCAGCTCTTCCTCTCTTTGCGGGCAGAGTAGAAAATGTTCCCGAAGCACCCACAGTCCAAGCCTCGAACAGCCCTGCTTCCCAGCGGGTTCAGTGTCACCACTCGGGGAGCAGCGTGGACAAAGGCAGAAGTTCCCAGAAACAGGGATCCCTTGTGTGTGGCGGAGGTTGAAACCGCTCGGGTAACTTGTTGAAGACGTGGTGCACGTTGCTTTCTAAGAAAGCCCTGTATTTTGGGATTGCCCCCCCTCTTTTTATTTCTTCCTTTTCAAAAGATGCTTTAATTTTGCCAAAATATAACAAAGAATTTAGATGTTTTAAGGTTGTTTCTATTCTAGTTTAAATAATAACAATGAGAGTTCTTTGCAGAAATTCTGCTAGAAAGGAAATTAAAATGGTTTTTTTCATTGGTAAAATTTTGTTGCACTCTACACACCAGAAGACAGTCTGTGAGGTTGAAGACCACAGAATGGAACTGTCTGAACAGCCCGCCCCTGCCTGCTCTAACCACTTTGGCCAGCCCTGCTTGGGGGGCTGCCACAGCAATGTGAATGCACCTGGGTACACATACCACCTGTCTGGGACCAGCTTGGGGATTCCTGCAGGTGACCTTTTGCAGCTTCAGAGGATATGGAACAAATGAAGATTTTGTGTGATTCTATTGGAAGTCAGTGTCAGTGTTCTTCAGAACCACTTTGTGTTTCTGATTCTGTTAGGTATCTCTTTCATGGTCAAATCTCTTCCTTTTCATTAAACACAAGCAAAGCTTTTTTTTTTTTTTAATGTGCAGAGAACTGACCGGTGCATGCTTTTGATCTCTCAAACGAAAGGCTCAGTATTCAGTGAAATTGCCATCAGTTGAGTTGATGACCACACCCTTTAAAATAGAGATCACTGGCTCTTGTGTTGTAAGATGCCCGTGTTAGTAGGGTAGAGGATGGGGTTGGAGGTGCACATGGCTTGTTTCCTATATATGCAGAGAGCCGATCACAGAAGCCTGAGAGTAAGTGGTGCACACCTTATTTTGTATAGATAAAACCAGCTTCTTTTCATTATTGTCTGTGTCTTGTGTCTGAGTTAAGGGAAGGAGAGGAAGCATATGTCAGGTTAATGTAACTAAATTTTAATTTAACAATAGATAACTATATCCTCCGGATGGGACACACAGGGGAGAGTCAGTGGAAGCCACAAAATATTCTGGCTGCTGTGATTTATTTTTCTAGAATAGATATGGATCTAGCATGTACGTCATAAGTGGTAATTTCATATCTTTTATCTATTCTATTTTATTCTCATTATGTTCAGTTCACTTTTTAATTTATTATTTTTGTATTCTCTGTGGCACTTGTGCAAAACATCTCTTCACCCACTTAATTCTGCAGAGTTTTCACTATTGAGTCACATTGAGTCCAATCATGGACAGGGCGAACTTTCCTGAGCAACAGAAACATCAAGTTCAAAATTGTACACATCCCCCTCACCTGTATTCATTTACATGTTCTTACTATGGTTTTCCTTTACTTCTCAGAAATTCTGTAATTTAATAAGGAATTGGGAAATACTTCCTCCCTAGTCTTAAAAAAATAAAATAAAATAAAAGGCATTCCTTCCAGAATCCTGCAGAGGGCAGTGTTTTATAACACATTTGCACCACTTGGTGATTGAAGGATGGACGTTTTTTGAAATTTTGACAGCTGCATGAAAAATGAGAAAATATTTTCCTCACTTCTGAAGTCGGCTTGCAGCTGGTGACTTGTTCATTCGGAAAACACCCTAGAGCAGAGAGTGACTGTGAGCTGTGCTTAACAGTCTGAGAGAATCATAAGAAACACAGTGTTCCGTATTCAGCAATGACTTCCCAGTGCTTCATAGCCACATTTTGTTTGTAACAAAGAAATAACTTGGTTTTTAAAAAGTTCTTGAATATGAACAAAATTTGTTTATTATAAAGATTAAAAACAGTTGGCTCCAAATAGAATTTTAATCAGAATGCTGCTTCTGGTGTTATTAGAAGAACCTGAATGGCAATGTAACGGTTCCTTTCTCTTGTGTCAAATTGTGTTCTGTGTGATAGCTTAGAAGGAATATGTGGCTAGAACTAAGCGTGATAATCATCTGAGCCATGGAGAGAAACTTCATTACCTCTAATCAGATCATCTACAAACAAATCAGTAAACATTTATGCCCATAACTGGGGACATGTTTTGTTTCTTGATTTTTTCCTAAATTTAAGTGCGGTTGGACTTCTTAGATAAAAATGTGTGCTCTTTTAGGTAAGTTTTTATACATGATAACTGCAAATCAGAACATTTTGGGGGGAAGTGATGATTTGAAAATACACTTGATTTCTAGGGAGGTGTTGGTTCCAATGAAGAATGGCAGGAAACTTCTTCTATCTTATTTGTTTAGTTGCTTCGGAAAAATCAGTAGCTTACTTTCTAATTCTCAGTCTGATTTACTCATTATGAACATCTAAAAATTGTTCCTGAGATACTTCAAAAGACTTATTTAGTTAGTATAGTCTTTCAATGCAACAAGAATTTATTTATGAGTAGATTTTTTTTGTCTTCACAAAATTCATCTAACTTAAGGAACCCTAAATTGTTCTTAAAGAGACTACCTACTTACTTCCAAATTATCCTTTTTTATTTTTAAATTTCTAGTAGCTCAGAAGAAGTGAATTGTATTTTATTTTTTGTTTTACCTTTCTATAGAATAAGTGGGGACCTGGAAATTAATGATGTAGATGATTTCCTCTTATCAGGACTATTTCAAAGACTAAGGTTTTCTTCTAGTTGCTCCCCCCAAAGGAATCCTAAAATACTAGTTGCTAGCTAATATAAGTTTTGTATGCTAAGATGTTCAGGTTTATAGTTTATTATGTGTATATATATTATATAAATATATATGTTTATATAAATATTTTGTTCAGTTTGGAGTCTGGCACAACTCCATTTTGTGGATTAGAGAGTAAAATATTAGAGATGATAAAGTACTAAATGAAACATAATATTTATTTATAAAAGTGTTGTAGATTGTTAAATCATAAGTTACAGTGCTACGAACATTGTGAAGAGACAGGCCTTTGACCTCCTGGAAAGCACTGCTCAAAAGTGACTAGTGACCATTCTTTTTAGTATCAAGACATAAAGCATCTTAGAAAACATGCTAAGATTTTATTTACAGGGAATTCTTTGTTTCAGTCGTTGTGTAGTCAGGTATAGCAAGGACCGAATAACAGCCATAATTCACGTTCCTAGAGTCAAGCATATTCATTGGAAGTTACAGTGTTTTATGTCGCTGGTCTGTTCTAGCTCTCCATGTTTGTAGTTGGAAAGGCACTGAAAGAAGTACAGTTTTTAAACTTGAATTGTTCTGTGGTTATATCTCCTTGGAAAACTCAGTCACAAAGCAGTGGAAACGAACAAAATGGCATCCGAAGTGATTTAATTTAGCCATTATGATTCCTCTTGTAAAACAAAGCAGAAAAAACAATGCCATATTTTTTTTTTTGGAGAAGAGTTGGCAATAAAGAGTTTTGTTGTCTGTTTCAAAAGAAGACTCGTTGTGTTCTTTTGGGGAACCAGTGCCTTATTGAATTTGTATATACTGTAATTATTCAGGACTAGGGAACAAACAACTGTATTGTATTTGTTACAAATTGTATATGGCTTTGTTTGAACATTCCCCCAAATAAACCGGTTTCATTCTCCCCTTGGCAAGAACGTGTCTGTTATCTGATGGCTGTGCCTTTTTCTGACGTTGAAACTATCGCATTGTATCACAAGGCAGCCCTGAAGAGTGAGGCAGGTAAGTGCACACACCTGGTGGCAAGGGAGCAAGAGCAATGGTCTGATGGCTTCTGTTTTCTCTGTAACTAGAAGGCACGGTCATTTGCTGAGAGTGAGAAGAAAGGTAGGAAGTCAGTGGTTTGAAGAAGTGAGAATTGTACTGTGGAAAATGACAGCTCGATGGTGGTGGGCAACGCTGAGGGCCCGATCAACATTGATGCTGTGTGGCTGAGTGGCCGGGAGTGTGGCCTCTGGACCACCGGACAGCCTGTCTGTGACTCCTGCTTACTCATTCCCTTGGCTGAGTGACAGTAGGCTCAGCTTCTTCCCCTCGAGGATAGGAATCACACTAATATCTGCTGCATGCAGTGAATCTGAAGATGAAACGGAGTGATCCATGTATCAAGCATGAAGTAAGCCCGCATCCATCCAACGAAGCATTAGCTGTTGTTACAAATTCATAGTGCTACTTATCCATGTAGTTTGAGGATTACATTTGTCTATCAGCAGCCCAAAGGGTAGGCATGGAAGTGGCAATAATTGGATTCATTCAGGGTAGGGTTTATCAGGCCTATGGAGCAATGGGTCATAGAAAATAAAGATTACTATCATCTGACATGGTCCACACTAGGGACGGGTTTAAAGAGGAGCCAGCTGATGGGTCAAAGGACCGGGAACCCTGAGGGGGGTGAGTGGTACATGAGCAGTTTCTGAGAAAGTGGCTGTGGTCAGGATGAAGATTCCAAGAGGAATCACCTGGGGTCTGCCCTTGTAGATGCTGAAGCCCCTCAGGATGGTGACACAGAGGGAGGCCAGGCCTCACACCTCTCCAGGGACCTCAGCTCGGACGGGTTTGAGGCAGGCCGGCCGTCAGCCTTGACTTTGGAACTGATTTCATGCTCTCCTGGGCTCAGCTTTCCCAACAGGAACCCCAGCAAGTTCCAAGTTAGGGCTCCCCGGGTGATTGATACTGGGCTGTCTGTGCTGCCCTCTGTTTTCTTTCGGAAGTGCTGTTTTGTTCTGTAACTGAATTTTCATTCTCTTACATGGAGTTGAATTCTCTAGTTCAGCCACAGGACTCACTTCTCACTTTTATTTTTAGTTTACACAGTATATTGTCACTACTTCCTGAGCCCTGGCAAACATTTGAGCTTGTAACCCCAGCTTTGAATCAGTGTTGGCACAGCTG